AGTGCATCTCTGTCTCTGTCTCCCTTCTCGCCTGTCTCTCTGTCTCCCTGTACCCCTGTCTCTCTGTTCGCCTGTCTCCCCCCCTCCCCTCCCCCTCCACCATCACTATCGCTTGTTCTCCATGTTTGGCGTACACGCTGAGTCTGCGGCGCGGCGGGGGAGCCGTACCCGCGGGCCGCCGCGGCGACAATAGGGTATTGATTAACAACCAAACCACACGGCACTTGTGTTAAATCAGTTCGCAACTGTTTATTGTCATTATACAGTTATTGTGTACACACATATTACAAATCTATCCGTGCGTGTCCGAATTGAGTCGCAGTTTGCAGTCGCAGTCGTTGGCCTCCTCCGTCGTCCCCCGGCCAGGCCAGCAGCCCCCTGCAACACACAGAGACAAGCACACACGATAAGGCAAAGGCGGTGTTATGTGGTTTATGCGTGTCGTCCACTCCGGGAAGGCGTGCAGCTGCCGCAGCTGCTGCTGGCTACCACATCTGCTAATCGCAGGCAGAAGCCGCACCTGCAACTGCTGAAGCTGTCCACCCCTACGCTACGCCCGCTCAGCCGATGGCCCCACCTGCAGCTGCTGCATCTGTCCGCCTAGCAGCGCACCGGCTCAGCGGGCGGCTGCACCCACCCGCTAGCAGTCCGCCTGGCACGCCTGCTAAAAGCGGACGGCCGCACCTGCTGCAGCTGCTGCAGCTGGGGAGGCGGTCGGATGGGGTGCGGAGGCGGGCGTGTTATTGCGGCCGATGGGCGGCGCAGGTGGTGCAGCTGTGTATCGCAGCTGGCCTGCAACCCCCCGCCCCTCCCCCTTCCAACAGCCGTTAAAAGCAAACAAGTGGGCCCGCCGTCAAAAGGGGCGCGCGCAAGTGCATGGCGGATTTATGGGAAACGTCTCCCGCAACCGAGTCAGGGCGGTGGCGGGTCGGGGTGTGAGGGGCTGAGGGGCGGCAGGGGGGCTACGAGGCAGGATTTGAGCGCGTATCACGTACGTCCTTACCAACACGCACGCTTGCTCGTTCTCACTCACACACACACAGCGAGAACTTACACAGACGGACGCGCTCACAAGCCTCCCCCCTTCCTCCCTCTCCCCCATTTTCCGGTAATACTCCACTTGTCGCATGTGCGGGGGATGTTAGGCGATGCGAAGGGGCGGGCATACGGTGGCTGGATTGCGAAAGGGAAGAGATTTTATTTTTATTTTTGTTGTTTTGAAGGGTGGATGGAAGGGGCGGGGAGGCGAGCAGGGTTGTGCGGGGCAACGGGGGCATCAGGTGGTGCAAAACGGATTGTATGCGCGAGAGGGGCATGCTTTTCATTTGGGAGAACCTGCAATGCTGCTCGCTCGAAGCTCGGTAACAGTACAGCC